CTTTAGGGAACACCATTCAACCCATAATACCAAGAAGCAGCTTTAAGAATGTGTGTGGAATGCTGCAGAGAGACCCTGGGAGGGGCACTGGGCACCAAGACAGGGGTCAGGTAGCAAGAAGTACGTCCAGTCTGTGAACTCTCAGGAGCCATTTTAAGTATGGTTTGAATATTATCAGCAAATCTGTAATGAATTCTACAATGCATTGTTAAGTGAGAAAAAGCAAAATACAGAGAAGTCTCATAATAACACCCTCATTTTTAAAAATAAATAAATGTCTCCTGGGTCAGAAAAGAAGTAACCAAAAAACAATGTTTAGAAGTGCCCACCACCAAAATATCATATAATGTGTGTCATGTGCTTAAAACTCTGAGCACATGCACATGTGTGTGTGGGTGTGTGTGTATGTGAGTGTGTGTGTGCATGTGTGAGTGTGTGAGAGAGTGTGTTTGTGTGTGTGCATACTCACTGAAGGAAACTAATGATAGAACTTCAGATTTTTTTAATTTAATCTGAATTGATTACATGTTTCAAAGTACTGTATTTTTTGTTTTTTATTGATTTTATTATTTTTATTATTCCACAACAGTGGAATGCATTACGATCCTTATTACACATATAGAGTATCTCTGTATATAAAGTAAGTTCACGACAAAGTACTGTATTTTAATTTACCTTCTTTTATAGTAAATGACACTCAACTCTTTATCACTTATTTTCTAGTGATCCTTGAGTTAACATTCATCTAAATAACTTAGGATGACTGTCACTTTAACTTAATCTACAACTTCAAACACCTAATGGCCTGGGTGCACACATCTCATTAACATATATTTAAATCTTATTTCCTCAAGATGAGAACCCTTTGAGGATGTTTTAACATTTGCCATGATCCAAGATTTGAGCTCATTCTTATCAAAACAACTGTCTCCTCTAACTGTTTTTGATATCTGTGGAGTATGTACACTCTCAGAGATGGCATTAGCATTAAGTGCATCATGAAATTTAAAAGGGGGTTTGGTGAATGAATGAAGTCTTGCCTAAATATATTTGCTTATTCCAGATTCTCATAAGGTACAATATCTCATCTCTTTAAGTACATCTCAGTTCTAGCTCAGCCATTTCCAGGATGCGTGACCTTACACAAGCTCTCAAGTCCCCTGCCCCAGCCCCACTCTGTCAAGTGAGGACGGTATCCACCTCCCGGGTTATTCTATTTGAACCCTGTGAAATCCTTGCTGTAGATTCTGACTCACAGAAGGTGCAGAATCAATGTTACGAATAAAACAAACAAGAAACACAGTAGCCTGACTAACCCTAACCAGCAGCTGGGCTCACAAGAATCCATGGTGATAAGGCTTTATGTTCCTGTGCTGGCAAGATCCAGGAACTGCGACCTAGATGCCAATCAACAGACGAATGGATGAAGAAATTGTGGTATGTATACACAAAGTACCTACACAAATTACTCAGCCATAAAGAAGAATGACTTTATGGCATGTCTTGTCATTCATTGTCAGTAAATGAATGGATCTGGAGACTCCAATGCTGAGTAAAATAAGCCTATCCTAAAAAAACAAAGGTCAAATGTTTTCTCTGATATGTGGAAGCTAACCCACAATAAGGCAGTGGTGGGGGAGGGGGGAGATGAATAGAAGAACGGATTAGACAAAGGGGAATGAAGAGGAGGAGGGATGGAAACAGGGAAGACAGTGGAAAGACACTGACATGGCTCCCCTCATATATGAATACACCACAGTAAGTCTCAACATTGAGTACATCCACAAGACTGGGGTCGTAACGAGAATGAGATACATTTCATGAATGTATAATTTTATCAAAATGGACTATACTGCCATATATAACTAAAAAGAATCAATTAAAAATTTTTAAAAAATAAGAAAGGAGAAAAGCAGAATCAATGATTTAAAAAATATATATACCCAGGCACTTAGTCTCCAAACTGTAGACTTGAAAGGGATCCCCCCAAGTGAGGCCCACATGCCTTCCACACTACTCCCACCAGAGCCCTCCAACTCAAATTCCTACCCACACAGGAGAATGCTACCACATCTCAACAGTGCAGATGACCCAACACTCTAGTGCATTATAAATATTTGCAACTCTATTTCTCTATTTGCAAGAAATTCCTTCCATAGGCTGGGGATATAGTTTAGTTGGTAGAGTGCTTACCTTGCACGCACAAAGGCCCTGGGTTTACTCCCCAGCAGCAGCACCACCACCACCACCCAAAAAAAAGAAAGGCAGAAATTCCTTCCAAACCAAAGTGGTAAAAATATCAAGTACCCCAGAAAACAAAGGGATGTTCTGGTTAGGATTATGAATATATTTCCAAATATTTGGACATATGTTCTATTGAGACTAAAAGGTTGGGGACAGGGAAAAACAATCAAAGTCTTCAATAATCAGGGCTTTTTTATACTTCTATGTTAAGACAGGACCATTTACAGGCTACAGGAAGAACCTGCATCTTTATCGACCATGCAATCGACATGCACTCCACTGTTGGCTGAGTTTAGACTGCTGTATGATGTTAAGATGCCACATTCAAACAACCATTTGCCCATTTTTAAAGCTTTTAAGAATGCACAACACTTGGCCAGAAGCAAATTATGGAATTCTCTTAAATCATAAATTATACATTAATCAATGCACCAATTGAGGTGGTGGGGCTTTTGTTTTTCCTCTGTCTGGCTGAGATCCCTTCTGCCCAACCTCTGATTTCAATCTGCAGTTAGTTCCAAGATGACAGACACACAAGGCCAAGGCCTTGGGGCCATGACACCACGCCCAGAAGTTTGTCTTTGTCTCCACCTAATGGTTGCTCTGTGTTATTACAAGCACTTGAGCCACTGACCACCACTCCCGCAGGCTGGAAAGGGTGAAGAAAACATTCCTAAGGCCGTCCCAGGATCCTTTGCAGGCAGTACAGTTCCTTCTCTTCCTGTATCCCTCACATTTAGTCAAGAAAACTAAGAACAAACCACCCCTAATGCATGTCCTATATCCTTAACCGAAGGAAGATTCCAGTCCAAAAAAACAGAGGAACTGGGAGGGGGACCGGTGTACAGAAAGGGTCACATATGGATCTAGCTAGGGAACACGCACTGGAGATTTTGTGGTGTTGCTTTTCTAATTTAAAAAAAAAAAATTACTTTGAATGCTCAGGCATCCTTTAGACTAACAAATCAAATGCCAAATTTCCTCTAGGAGGTTTCAATTATAATAGAATTATTCCATTTCTCTGTATTTCATTCTTTTCTCCTTTTTTTTTTTTTTCAAAGTGATATACTTGCTCACTGAGGCTTTGAATTTCTTCTGCATATCCACAATGCTGCTCAGGTTCTAGAAGCTTCCTATCTAGAGAAAGCAGGCAGATTCTGAACAATATTTTGAGATCAAACAAGTCATATTTGCAGTGCTCCTCACTGTACCCCTGGATCCACTGACCACTGCAGGTTAGCATAGTGGGCAAGACCAACATGAGAAAAGACTTGAGGCTCTTCTTGGTTTATTACTGACCTAAATGATTCTGCCTTTCAATAACACTTTAAGGAAAAATGAAGTGTGAATAAATTTTTTTTTAAAAACTCTCCTAGAAAGTTAATTTTCTGACATACAGGCAACAATGTAAGAAAAAAATTCACTTTAAATAAGTGGCATGGTTTGTTATCTTTACTTACTATTGGCATAAATACTTATTTTCACTTAAAAATATAAGAACTAAGAGGGAAATTGGCACCAAGCCAAATCTAGCCCATCCTACTTCACCATGACAGAGCTAAAAGTTAATCCATGCAACAAGAAGCTCAAGAACCTTTTGTTTGTGGAGTTGTTATTTTAAAATATATGCAAGTTTTCTCATGACCTTAAATTAAAATATATATATATATATATATATATATATATATATATATATGCAGGCTTTTTAAACAGGACATACTTTAGTGCGATGAAATAAAATAGAATTAAATTTTAATTCTATTACTTTCCATATCACTGTAGTCTTTCACCTTATTTTTAGCAAAAGAAGAAATGTTTTTAAAGCAGACAATTTCAACATTTTGAACAAAATAACCTTAATTCTCTTCCAAACGTCTCGTTACTAGGGTAACAAGCAAAGAGCTGTTTTCCTGAGTCCCTGAGATCCACATGACTTCTGTAACCATGCAGTACATTCCCAACTGACACCTAAGATCCAAAGGCAAGAGATCCACAGGCAGGTTCGAAAGGGAAACGTTTCTGGCCACTCAAGAGAAACTGCCACCGCGATCACGAGATAAGGAAACAGCTCAGCCAGGAGACCCTGCTCTGCTGACGTACAGTAGCAACGTGTGCTGAAAGAAAAATTCAGGGCACAGGGCATATGCAAAGAGGAGGGGCTCATCACAATCCTAGAAGAAAGAAAAGTGTCCACAGTGACCTAAGATGGGCAGGTGAACAGAGAAATGCCATCCAACCTACCTGCTGCACAGTCACAGGGGCCAGACCAGCCGTTGGAACACACACATCTGGCGGTGGGAGGCTAAACTACAGGACAGGCTCCCCTCGAGGCAGCCCTGGCTGCAAATCAGCGGACAGCAGGAGAAACAGAAGCAGCTGTTCCCTGCAGCTCAGAAACGTGCACGACTTGGTCCCTACAATCATCCCCACACATGTCAATGAGACAGTTAGACAAGCTTCAAAAACAATGCACACAGCAGTTTGTACAACCCAATATATGACGTAACAAAATAGTCAGAGCAGTTTGAAAACATGGACCAAATAATCAATGCAACAAAAAACCTTCATCCCAATGCAGACAGGATTTAGGCTCAGTAACAGACACACTGAATTCAGGCACCCACAGGAGGACTGCGAATAAAGGAACAACAGGCTGACATGTTGGCTATCAATCTTTATTTATGACAGTTCTCTGGGAAGCCTTGCATTTTCAAAGCTAATCTCAGATAGTAGCGTAAGCCATGTACAACAAAATCTTCTGCTGGAACACAAAGAGAAGTTAGTTCTAGTCCCTAAAATCATTTTTTTTCAGAGTATTAATAAGAAGGTCTATTCATGCATGCAGAAAAAGTTAAGCCAAGGCCAAGAACATCAGGCAAAGCACATGAAAGTATGCATACATCATCTTCACATTTAATTCCATATTGATATGATTAAGTAGATACTCATGTACATCAACCATGTCAGAAGTACAAGTCCTCCACGAACCCCGGGCATCCTGGGACAGGTATGCTAGCTTTGAGCCAAAACACTTCATGGGGTTTATGGGGAGACATTTGAAATGTTGCTTCTCGGTGTGGATTTTCTAAAAGAAAAGAGAAATATCAGGGAGAAGACTGTTAAAGAGACAGAGAGTGTTTACCACCACCTTCATTATACAAAACACAGCAAAAAAAAAAAGTATTGCCTTCATTCTGTAAACCACCACTTGGCATTTGTTCCCCAGCACAAGAAGAGGAAAATAAGTTTTGCTCATGGAAAATCAAGCCCAGGCTTCTATCCTCTCTCTGAGGAACCCCCTATATCACACCGTATGCAAGACAAGGTCTCCAATTAGCTTCCCCAAGTGTTCAGGTAAAACAGAGAGATTGAATTTAGAGCCTGATCCTGTAATTTAGTCATTGCTATGCTTATCCAAAATTCAACTCTTCAGATAAAATATAAACTACCTGGCTGGGCACAGCGCCATGCCTCTATAATCCCAGCTACTCAGGAGGCCGAGGCAGGAGGACCACATGCTCAAGGCCAGCCTTCACAACTTGGCAAGCTACTCTCATCAGCTCTAAGATGCCCTAAAAATACGTTTTTTTAAAATTAACTTCTTACTTGCAAGAAAATTAGGATGAAATCAAAAAAATAAAATGGACTGGGGATGTACTTCCATGATACAGAGCCCCTGAAGTTAATCTCCAGTACCAGAAAAAAGAAATTATGTGTATACATATATATATGTGTGTATATATATATATAATGCCTGGACTATCTGTGAGTTATGAAACATGTTTTTCCTAAAGCCAAATGGTTTGCAGAATGCCTGTCACATCACCATGTCACATTTTAAGAAACGTGATGGAATCTGCCTGGATTGCGGGGTGAGGTTTAGGGTGCTGCCAGGTTCACGTCTTCCCTTCCAGGTAGTTCGATCTCACAAAAGACTGCCGTGGGCCAGATTCCAAACTAGCACCCATCAAAGGAACAGGCAAACTGTGCTAGACACAGCTGCAGTTACTTTTTTTTTTTTTTTTTTTGAATTGGCCTATAAAACCATCTGTCTGCACTAAGGATTCTCTCAGCTGCGCCACTTCACATTCAGTATCTTTTACAACAATCACAGTTAAAATTGCATGATTTTTAAAGATCTTTACAAGCAGAGGGGATGCAGTGGATTCTCACAGCACTTGTGAGCCCCCTGCCGTGGATTTTGCTTCTGGTAGAAGACCCTAGCACACTTTCATTTCCTACCACTCTGAAGGTAGAATTTCATAAACTTACCACTTTACTTTTTTTTTCAAAAATGGATCCATTTCATTCCTTAGAAATTGAATCACTACCGATAAAAAAGCCAATTAGTTGTCCTTAAAGAAGAGACCTGTATGTCCCCAATATGAAAGAAATCAGCTGGGGGAAACTTCAACCCCAGACTAGATTCAGTGTGTAGTTTAAGTGGATTATAAAATTTTAATGGTCCAATAAGAGACTGTGACAGCTATGTTCACCAGCTCCAAGATGCCCTAAAAATATGTGTTTTTTAAATTAACTTCTTACTTGCAGGCCCATCTTGTGCACAGTGGTCACACAGAGCACAGCTGTGTGTCCTCAATATTTACAGAGCACAGAATCCCACTTCATTCCACAGGAAGCCCCCATGCACCTGCCCCCAGGAGTGCCAAGTTTTACCACAGCCCTTGCTGAAGACCTACTGTGTGCTTGTTGTCATGTCCTTCCTCAGCTGCTCTGTTCAAACACCTGTCTCAGATTTTTCAATACAGGTATAATAAGGCCAGGAAGGAAATTTTAAAAAATTTTGTTATTTTAATTTTTTAAAAACCCGGACAGCACCAGAATGAAACTGCCCTAGTTAAACCGCTGCCTCAAATTCTGCCCTAAAATCAATGACATCATTAACAACCCAACTTTAGGTAGGTGCCTGCCAGGTATGCGCGCTCGCAGATGCCTTCCCAGGATTCCCGTGCCACTGTCCATCTCAGCCGCCCGCCCCCCCAGTCCCCCAGGCCCTCGCCACTAGACGCCTTTGTCACCTTACTTCGTTCTGCACCACATCCCCCAACCCGGTGAGATGGGCACTGTCGCTTCTTTCTGTGGTCACGGAAGGTCTGGAGCTGGGAGGCAGCGCCAGCTTGTCCCCGGCACCTAGTGGCGCGCCACCCTCCCCCCCCAGCTTCCCGTGGGTGCTGAGGGCTAACAAGGGGAAACACCGCGTGGAGCACCCAAGACTGCGGGTGCAGCAGCCGCGTGTACTGTTCGTGAATCCACAGCCAGCGTCCACTTTCTAAGGTCATAATTTACTGCCACCGTTATGAGCATCAACCTCCCAGAGACACGCAGAGTGCTGACCAGCAGGGGCGTGGGCGCCAGAACCCAGCAGCAATGGCCCTGGGCCACCTGGCGCGTGCAGGCCCCGTGGAGGCAGAGAGGCCCCGTGGAGGCAGAGAGGGCCCCGTGGAGGCAGAGAGGGCCCCGTGGAGGCAGAGAGGGCCCGTGGAGGCAGAGAGGCCCCGTGGAGGCAGAGAGGCGTGTGCACACGGCTCTGTCCCGCGTCCTCCTACCAATCCCAGCTGCGTGCCCAGAGGCGGACGGGCAGAGCGCCAGCCCCACAGCTGCAGAAGGGCCTTGCAGAGGATGGCTTTGGGCTGAGACCCACGCCCCTCCTGTCACCCCTGAGGGGTGCAGATGCCTCTGACAGGCCAGGACTCGGGAGCTACCTGGGAGAGTCGAAGAACTAGGCAGGAAAAGGCCTAAGAGTCTTCTTCTTCTCCGGGCTCCTCTTCTCCCGCCTCAGCTTCCTCTTCCTCTGCTTCCCCTTCTGCTCCCTCCTTCGTTACGTCTGCGGCCTTATTTCAACAAAAATCATGTTATTACTGAGAAGCATTAGGGACCAAGACAACAATGAAAAAAGTAAGGCCAAATCTTAAACTGGCGTTGTGGGCTTCCCAATGACACAGACACCCGCACCCATCACATACACACACACACACACACACACACACACACAACACACAAACCACACACACTGCCTGCGAAAACACACTGAAATATCATTCTTGTAAACACAGACTCCTTAATTTGCAGAAAAGTACATTGCTCTAATGGGTTGTGATTTCTCCCAAGCCCATGTAGACATCTGTCTCATCAAATTGCTTTAAAAATTCAGAAAGGCTACAGTTGGAAGAACAAAATACAAGAATTTCAGAAAATAGAACTTTGTCAGAAAGGACTGGTTACATTTTGTTATAACATGCTAATTTCTTCAACCCAAAGCTACCAACAGCCTACACATACATAAGACCTAGAATTACTTCTAAGTTAATGGGATGGTTTTTGTCTCGTTATTAGATATCAAAAATAGGATTTTCAAGAACAAGCTTGCCTAGCAAGAGAGATACAAAAGAATAATTATTGGAAAGATATAATGAAAAATCATGGTGTAGAATAAGCTAAAAATAATCTTTAGGTTCAAAAATAGGGTTATCTTTGATATATTAAAAATAATAATGAATCAACTTTATATTTATTGCCTCTGCAAAATACAGATATTGAAAAAGTAGATTACAAACAACCAATATTTGATAGTTATATATGTGCATGTGCATGTGTTTGTGTGTGTGTGGCTAGTGGTTATTTCTAAGTAATGGAACTATAAGCTTTTTTATTGCCTCCCTTTATCTGTATTTCCTAAATTTTCTATAAAGATTGTAAATTATTTTGTAGTTTCAAAAACCAACAAAAGTTTGGTTTTGGGGTTTTTTTTGGGGGGGTGGATTTCTTCTGCCATTTGGGTGTTGGTGACCTGCACTGAAACACCTAGAAAACACACATGCCTTTTGTGAATCATTCTCTCTATCCTTGAGTTTGCAATTTTAATGTAGTTCTCTGATTAGCACTTTAAAATGATTAATCCTTAAGTATCCAAGAATAACGTCCTTAAAACTCTTGATTAAAACCTAAGTAGCTGAGACTTGGGAAATAACGGGGAATGGTGTAGGAGAAGGGAGAATCTGAGCATGTCACTTCGGACCTAACAAGGCAGTTCTCCAAACAGACGTCAACTGTTATGTGCCGGTGACACATGTAACAGTGTTTAAACTTCCACATTCCAGATTCCAGGTCACAAATTGCAGCTTCAGCAAGCAGGCGCTGAAGAAGAATTGTGGTGCCTCCTCCTCTAATCAGGTGCATCCCCTCCACATTCATCAGTGACATAAAACAGAATCACCCCAATGCTCCCCCCGCCTCAGGGCCTAGGAGGATGTGCAACAAAATCTCTCAATGAGGAAAAAGATCTCTTGGGAGGTTTCAACAAAGCAGGAACAGATGGGAAGAGAGGATTCCCATGAGAAAACTGAATTTAGAGCTAATGAAGAGTTGGGTTGGGTTTGGTTTTTGTTTTGTTTTGCTTTGTTTGTTTACCAACCATAAGCTCCTAATATAAAATAAATGTTATAGTCTGTGAAACTAAATGAACTTTTAACAGCAGGAACTCTAGTAATTAACTTCAACTTGACCACACATCAAGTTATATAGGACAAATGATCTCAAACCAGTGGCCTCCGACTTGCTTGGGCATCAAGATCACCTCCAGGGCTTGCTAGAACACTGCTCCACCTCAGTGCCTGACCTGTAGATCTGGGGTAGGGCCTGAAAGTGTACACAGTGGTCCCCTCTGATCTGCAGGCAGTGCTCCCAGACCCTGGTGGGTGTGTGCGACCTCAGGTAGCAGCCAGTCCTGTATTCACTGTTCAGTGCCTTTCTGTCTTAGCTCATCATTTGCTGGGGCTGTAACTTTTGCAGCTTGATGTGTGGCCACAAAGCTAGATTAATTTTTCTTTCCTTGTTCACAATTCACAGAAAGTTTTGTTCCTCCAGCAGAGCTTAGTAACCTAGGCATATGATTTTTTTTTCTTTCCTTATTAAGTCAAGAACTTTCACCTTTTCACTTAAGCACTTTATGATTGCTCTTTGGCATAAACAAATTGCTAACCTCATTACTCTTAAGCTTTGGAGACATTATAAAATAAAATAAGGGTCTCTTGAACACAAGCACTGCAGTACCTTAACAGCTGATGTAACCAAGATGACTACTAAGTGACTGTCGGGGAGGTAAGATATACATTGTGGATACACCAGACAAACATATGATTCATAAGAAAGATAGCACAACATTTTATCAACTCACTCAGAAGAGTACACAATTTAAAACTTGTGAATTGTTTGTTTCTGGAATTTTCCATGTAGTATTTTTTGGACTGCAATGACAATGGATAACTGAAACTAAAGAGATTGAAACTCTGGGCAAAGTCAACCATTGCATTTCCAAAGGTGCTGTTGCTGGTCTGGGGTCCCCACTTTGAAAACCTCTGCTATGGTTTGTATTCTCTAAAATAACATGTGAGCAGAGAACAATAACATTCATTCTAGTAGAGTTAGCACCACCATCAACCAAACCTGCATTTACCTGAATTGGTCATTTGTTCCCACATTTGTGTGTACAATTTATAACCTTATCATAATTCAATAACTTCAGCAATAATATGGAAATTAATTAAATAGGAGCAGGGAAAGAACTTTTTTATTATGTGGATTGAATGGAATACTTTGGAAAGACTCAATACATGTAAATCACCTTTAAAAATCTGTCATTTTAGGCGCTAATAAAGCCTGGAGTGGCAGGAAGTCATCATAAAATCTTTGTGAACCTAAATGGCTTTGCACACAGCTTTAAGTTTCTGCTCTATTTTAAAAAAACTGAGACTAGAATTCCCTGAGAGACCAATGAATGTTAGAAATACAATAGGACCTGCTAATCTCTGCATTGTTATTTAAAGAAAAAAGTCCTTGTTCTAATTGTTAAACAATTGGTGAATTGTGCAGTAAATACACACATACAAATGTATATCTCTAATTAAAGTCAGTGTTTATGGCCTCCATGTTTTTGACATTTCTACTCTAATTCCTCAATTGGACAACCTCCAACCCCAGACATGGACCGGGAAGTTCTCCCCTGTGCCTGGGATGTGGTTGTGGCTCCCCTCTACAAACAAGAATGTGCAATTACATGTCACAGAAGACAGATGTCCTTATACAGTTTGCCCTTAATGGCTTTCAAATATTGCCTTATCATTTTTCTTTCAATGTTTCAATTGCACTTGACAACTCTGTCCTCAGTACTCCTGATTTTTCATACTTTCTCCTTATTTTATACAATTCTTAATCTTCTCTCCTTGTGAAACTTTATTCTCATCTATTTTAGTTGTTCTTTAGGCGGTGTCCTAAAGCATGACATTAGGGTTTCCAAGTGACACAATGTCCAGACACTTGATGATAAACAGCTGTTTAAAATTGCAGGTCAAGGTAACTCAGACAGAGACCTGCAGTATAAGTTCTAAAATCAAGTCTCAACATTATGTGCCCCCTTGACATCGGGTGAAGGCAAGACAGCTCAAATGACTTCAGCATTCGTCCCCACCACACACTCACTCTGCTCCTGCAGACTTCATAAATAAGGGGACGTACTCTTCTGCTGCAGTCTCTCCCTCTTCTTCCTTAGGTCCATGAATTAACAGCCTGGATTAACAGCCCCGCACACAAGGGCCAGGTGCAGTGCCTGCCTACCCTCTGGCATTAGTCAACACACCAACTCCGACCTCCTGTGGCACCCACACCTTAGACACTGGAAAGCTAACTCCCAGGGCCTGCTCATCTGCAGTACTCCCAAGCCTGGCCCTGCACTGCCTGTGTCCTCTCCTCCAATATGTGTGGGCACCTGGCTAACAGACGCCCACTGCAGGGTCCAATGCCTGCTGTTACACGTCCATCCCCATAGCACAGGGCAGGAAGCCCTCCCTCCTCAACAGGATGAACAGGAGGCCACCCACACCACCAGCAGCACTGGGCAAGCTGCATGCACCACGCTGTCCAACAGGGTGGGAAAGGGCAAGATGAGAACGACTCTCCGCCCAGCGCCCTGGCCCAGCCCAGCCTGACCTCTGGACCTCTCATGGAGGCTAGAGAGGTTCCTCGGGCAGGTCTCAGTCCACCTCCCTCATGTGAATTCACCTCCAACCTACTTCCCTTCTCAGCAGGTCACCAGCGGATTTTCTGACTGTGGAGTTACACCGTCTCCCTTATTTATGAAGAACAAGGGGACAGTGGCTAGAGCTTCGACTCTGTCACCTAAAAATGTTTGTATCAAGCTGATGACACACAACTGTTGAAGGTGATGGACGTACCTCTTCTGCTGCGGTCTCTCCCTCTTCTTCCTTAGGCCCGTGAATCAAAGTGAAGGAAAAAATATAAATTCAAGTAAGTTTTAAGTTGAATCTCAAAATTGGGCAAATTATATTAAAATAGAAGCCCATCAAAATGAGCAACACATTCATTAATTCATGAAATAAGTAAGCAGTAAAGGCATGTACACTGGGAGATCTCTACTGATTTCAGGTCATATTTCAAATTATTGAAACATTATGAGCTTAAAGATATTTTTCCATTAATCAAACTGCTTGACAAAACACAATGGAGTAGTGGTGCTGCTTACTAATATGTACAGTTCTGTCTGCAGAACTCCTACAGAAGCACACCAGCGACTGCAGAGCTAGTTGGTAAATTCAAGTCATATATGCAAGTGACCTAAAAATTTTAACAAAAATATGTCTCTTCTGCCTTCTGCCCTTACAAGTATGCTTTTGTTTCAGTTTGAACTGATGAATAGAAACAGACCAAAAACTTTTTCTCTATAAGAACAAAATGATAGCATTTCTGAACCATTTAGTATTTAAACACTGATTTCCGGTTGAAGAAACTTGCGAGGAAAGAGAAGGTGGCATCACCAAAGACTCAGGCCCAACCTCACCCCCCCTTCTCTGGACAGATGAGGGTCCTGAGGCCATAGAGTCATTACCAAAGTCACAGGACAAGTAAGAGGCATGATCGGGAGCCACTCCATGTCTCCTGATTACTAATGTAGTGTCCTCCTCTTCTACCAGGCAGCCTCTCGGGGCCAGTAACAGAAAGAGCAAAATCACAGAGGGCAACTTATAGAGTATCCAGGACACTGCCACATCGGCTGGGCCAGCCTCACGTTTGGGGCCAGTTCTAGAACAGACCTCCAGATCTCAGGGAGAGGCAGAGAATGCTACTGCCTGACACAGCAGCCAAAGCTGAGTCAGACCAAGAGGATGGCTCAGCACCGGGGATCTCCACACCAGCCTCTATGTTAAGCACCCGTGGCGACATGTCAAGTGTCTGTGCAAAAGTCACATCCAGGAATAGAGTCCAGCGTCTGTTGAGACACCCAGGCGCTGCCGTCAGGGCATTTGTGGGTTGCAGCCCTTGATGCCACCTACTCCTGCTGGTGTCTCGTCCCTCCTGCCAGGTCTGCCGGCTTTGCTCACCTGGCTGCTGACAGGAGCCCCTGTGTGACCCTCAACCCTCGGTCGGTCATCCTCATATCCATCTGTTCTCCACACTGTGGCCACAGAGTTAGTCCAGACAACAAACCTCCTATGCTGGCCTCATGTTTAGCAATGTGCATCACAAGAGGATCCAGATATCTTAGAAGAAGTCCTCTGCCCCTGGCTCCCCCTCCAGCCTCCCCCTCCAGTCTCCCCCTCCACCTCGCCCCTCCAGCCTCCTCCTCCACCTCACCCCTCCACCTCACCACTCCCCATTCTCCCTTTCAGCCATACTTTCTCACATGCCCCCCAACAGGACAGGACACTGCTCAAAATGACCCTTGCAAGGCAGACTTTCCAGCCTGAGACTGAGTTAGGGACCCTCTGATCAGCTCCCACAAACACCATTTACTCATCTGTCTCCTGGTGCAAGCCCCTGGGTCATGACCTGTGTCTGTTCATTTTTGGACCTCCAGTGCCCGCCACTGTCTGGAACCAAGAGAAAGCCCCCTCAGTGTGAGTAAAGTGACTGGCACGGTTCCTCGGCCATTAACTCTTGGCTCTCAAAGCACAGTCATTTTCTTCTTGTCTAAAGAGGACCAAAGTTCTGGTTTAATCTGATCTGGTTAAAAAAACTTTTAAGGGAAGAGAGGACAGGGTCACCAAAAATTCAATCAGGCCCAGCCTCACCAGCAGCACAGAACTATTGATTATTGTAGAGCTTTACAATTTCCTAAATCCAGTTATTTTTATTAACTGCATCCAGCTGAAACAATATATCATTAAAAGTAGGGGCACCCTTAGACCTGGCTGGGGGGCAGTCAGGGTCCTATAGGAATAACTACTAGTCTCGACTGTTGCAGGTAAACTAGCAGCAATAACAGGGACCTGGCACTCTTTACCAATATTTAAATTGAGCTTTATTTTTTGAAAATTATGTTAAGTAGAGAAAGGAACTGATCACAGAACTGATAGAAATAGCTTCAAAAGGTCAAGTGAGCTGTAAAGGGCTTTGGATGTTCTCATCTCGGGCTCTGCCAGAGCAGACGCTGGTGGGGGCAGGGCTCTGCTGTCTCACAGCCCCTCCCGCCCCCGGAGTTCTGCTTAGCCTGGGACTGCACCACTCCATCTGGTCAGCTCACAGAACGTGGAGTGGGGGCTGGCCGTGGGCTCCTGGAGAGCATGTGCCCAGCAGGCACAAGCCCTGGGTCCCGTCTCCAGTCCCCCACACAAAAAATGTGTTGAATGAATGCATGTATGCGTTGCTACTCCTACCTCTGACCCCCTAGGATGAGGTGGGATATATTAATTTAATAAATAAAAATAACCAACGACTAGCCTCAGCTCACAAAATTAGAAAATATCAGAATTCAGCGGATGGTTCTCTGTGGTCAAGGCATGAACTGGCCTTTATGGTTGGCAAATAACTATACTGACAACAGCATTTTTTAAAACAGAACTGTAATCACCAGGTCAATTAAGCCAACCTCGGAAGAGCTGGAGTCTCTGTGAGCCGTTAATGTGGGAAGCACACAACAGAAACGGCACCTCGTTGTTCTGACAAGGCTTCGGGAGAGGGACATCTCAGGACCTTCCTCCTGTAGCAGCTATTTTTGCTGGGAACCTGGCCAGGGACCAGGCTGCTGGTGGCGGGTAGCCAGATGGAGGCCAGGTGTCAGTGGTGGTGAGTGTCAGGAAGAGGTGGGGAGGAGGGAGCAGGCCTGAGGGGGCAGCCGGGTTCAGAGGGCCCAGAGGGGCAGCAGCCGCTCTCAGCCTGGCCCAGCCTCAGGCCGGGGAGCCCACCAGGGTGTTCAGGTAGGACCTCTGGGAGTGGCAAAGAATGAACCTCCAAATAATGTTACCTTACAATAAAATAATTTCACCTTGATAAATGCCAAACCCAAATGTGGACAAGTTACTACATTCCCCACATTTTAGAAAGTTCTCATGATGCCCCCCTGAAATTCTAGAGGGAAGCTCACCCCAAGGCCCGCACCCTGCCCCAGCTCCACTAGGCTCCATCTGCAGCCATGGCCACCCAAGTCACATGTCCTGAATTCCTCAAATAAGTGTACTATGTGGTCCCCCATTGTCTGCTCTAAGCCCCCACCCCCACTCCCCATCCCATTAGCTCTGACAAGGAAACCTGTGCCTTAGATTTGCTGGGATCTTCTATTCCCTTGATTGGACCTGAATTGAGTTTCAGCTTTCTCCCAAGGCCCCCTTTTATTCTCAAGTTCCTCTAGGTACCCCACAAATGCACCCCACCTTGGCTCTTAAGGAGATATATGGTAGAAGCAGGAGCTAAGGATGTTCATTTGACTGAGGACAGGGACCCAACCCACCCTCACAACACAACACAACACAGGATCAAAGCCTTGACCGGCTGGCGACCTCCAGGCCTGCTGCAGGGTCCTTCTCAGCCACTCCGCATCTGGTCCCCAGTGGCCAGCACTGGAATGAAAATGGCCTGCTTCCTCCCAGCTCCACGCTCAGCTCTGCACTAGCCACTGTGTTCCCAGAGTGCAGCACAATTCCTGCTCCAGGCAGAGCCCAGTAAGAAAAGGACAGGACTGAATCCAAAGACAGACCCACAAAGAGGCAAGCCCTCACCTTCTCTGGGGACTCGGGGAGCTCGCCCGCACCTTCAGCGCCCTCTCCTTGTGCCTCGCTTTCTCCGCTTTCTTCAGCCTTCTCTGTCCCCTGGTCATAAAAGAAGCCCAGCGTATCACTGATCTTAGGTAAGCACTTGAGGAAAATGCAGGCCACCCCCAATGCGGTTTTCTTATTTAAATCACAATACAGAAATGAAGCAGAGAGTCCTCCTAGTCAGGAGATCACTTCACTGCGAGAGCATGGGCTCACCAAACACCAACACTGCTGGCTGGGTCTGTGAGCAAGAGTCGATAGACTGATGGACGTTACAGTAATAAGCTGCCTGAGGAAGGAGTCTCAATTCATCGGTTTAAGGATCATGAAGATAACAGGTATACAGATGGATTGATATAATCAGGTGGACAGGTGGACAAGATGGAAAATGGATGGATGGATGGATGGATGGATGGATGGACAGGTGGATGATATATATGATGGATGGATGGTTGGATGGATGAATAGATGGATGGATGAATAGATGGGTGGATGATGGATAGATTGATATGATGGATGGATGGATGGATGTGCAGATATGATGGATGGATAGATGATAGGTAGACAGACACAGAGAAACATTAAGACCAAGCAGCCATTCTGAAGACACTGGCATGGGAGAAGACGGTTCCATGTAACAGCCCACAGCCCTTACCTCTGCTGTGCTCTCTGCCTCTCCCACTACATCGCCATTGGGAAGGGAAGATGCTTCCTCCGGTGATTTTGCCACCTGCATCATATAAATTGAGAACATTTCAGAATTTCTTGAAGACTATAACTTTCATTTCAATGTCTTTTAACTCTTTAAGTTATATTTATCTGCATCCTTCATTTTATTCACAGCAATGACACTATGGCCTGAGGAGGTAGGATGGTCATTACCACACCTGCTTCAGAGACACGAAAATAAAGGCAGAAAATGTCATATCACAAGTTAGGGACAGGCCTAGGTCTACACCTCCTACTTGATGCTGTATTATGAAGTGGTTCCCAGCCTTTTGAAATATCAGGTTATTTTTATTACAAACACCCTTGGAGCTCATAGAACAACAAGCCACACACATACCTGCCATTCCCACCCTCCTAAGATAACCAGTGTTCAGGGAAAGGGAGGAACTGCAGAATGAAATTGATAAAATCATGCTGCAAGCATATATGAATACGCCACAGTGAATTCCACCTGTGTGTATATCCATAAGGTACCAATTTAAATAAACAAATAAACAAAAGGAACAGCAGGAGAATAGAGGAAGGGAATCAGTGGGAGGGAAGAGGGAAGGGAAAGAGAAGGCCCCGGGGACTGAGCTGGAGTAAACTGCCTTCCGTGCCTGTGTGGCTGTGTCAAAATGAGCCCCACTGTTATGGGGAACTATAAGGCACTAATAGCAGTATTTTTAGATGAAAATTTCCTAAATTTGGTGAAAGATATACATTCACAGAATCAATAAGAATAAATACAGGGCTGGGGCTGGGCTGAGGCTCGTGGTAGAGTGCTTGCCTGGCATGCATGGGGCACTGGGTTCAATCCTCAGTACCCCATAAAAATAAAATAAACGTATTGTGTCCACCTACAACTAAACACACACACCAAAAAAAAAAGAAATAAGTTCAAAGAAACCAGGTTTAGAATATCATAACCACATGGCTGCAAATGCAGGATAAATGGAAAGTCTTGAGAGAGCAAGAGAAAACCACAAATGACGGCCAGGGAACAGGACTTGCAGTCATCATGGCTCACCAGAAACTATGCAGACAGGAAGGCAGAAGGGAAAAAACATTTGTAAGGTGCTGTCAGGAAAATAAGTAACTGTCGACTAAGAATTCTGTGTCCTGTGAAAAAGCCCCTCGAGAATGAGAGCAAAACCAAGACAATCCAGGTAAAGAAAGCCACAGGCTCGGGCGGCAGCCTGCTCCACAAGTAGGGCCATGAGGCTCAAGGACACCATCAGGATGAAAGGAAACTTCCCTGTCTCAGCATCAGCAATGAAAAGCACCTGGGAAATAGAAACGCTTCTCTTTCCTCCTGCTTCCTTTAAAATACACAGGACTGCTTGATGCAAAAACACAATACCATTTAACAGAGGGGAAGGGAGGCGTCAATGGGCCACACAGTAAGATGGGGAGCAGTAAGTGGGCATCACATGGCGGTGCTTCTTCCTGCTATCTGAAGTGTCATAATATTAACCTAACTAGGCTGTGAGACAGCACAAATTTACGATATAACACCAGAAGAACCACCACAAGGGTGCCAAGCAGTATAGCTAGGAAGACAATGCACAAATTAAAAGGGAACTCTGAAATACAGCCAAATAACCCAAAAGAAATAACACAAAAAAAGTAAAATGGAGTAATATAACAAGGCACAAACAGGAAACTAAAATTAAGTGGCAAATCTAAACACAGTCACAACATCAGGGGTGGTGGGGCAAGCCTATCATCCCAGTGACTCGGGAGGCTGAAGCAGGAGGATAGCAAGTTCAAGGCCAGCTTCAGCAACTTTGCAAGACCCTTTCTCAAAATAAAACAGATGGGATGTAGCTCAGTGGTAGAGCACCCATGGGTTTAGTCCCAGTACTGCAAAAAATAAATAAATAAACAATCAAACACAACTATGTCAATGATTATTGAAGTGCTCAGGAACCAAATATGCCAATTGTCAAAATGAATAAAAGTGCACAAAACCTAACCTCTGCTGTCTCCAGAAGACACGCTATGAAAACAAAGACACAGGTAGGTTGAAAGTATACAGATGGTGGGGCTGGGATTGTGGCTCAGTGGCAGAGCGCTTGCCTGGCATGTGTGAGGCTCTGGGTTTGATCCTCAGCACCACATAAAAATAAATAAATAAAATAAAAATGTGCGTCTACCTACAACTAAAAAAGAAATTTTTAAAAAAGTATATAGATGGAAAAAATATGCCATGCAGCCAGTAAACCTAAGAAATCTGGAATAGCTTTACTTATGCACAATCCAGATATAGACAATACTACAGAGACAAAGAGGCATACACCAAACATAAAAGAGCCAGTCCGTCAGGAAGCCATAAAAACCATAAATATTAATATGCCAAACAACAGGGCTTTAAAATACATGAAGTATAAATTGACAGGATTAAAGGGAGAAACAAAAAATGCACAATCAGAGTCAGGGATCTTAACACCCTCTCGTCAATTGTAGAACAACAGTGTAAAACTCCAAACTGTCTTTCCCCGCCTAGGAAATTTTAGCCTTTTCAGATGTATTAGAACAACTGATAGAGTTGGCCCAATTCCTCTGCTGCGTTGATCCACAGCAGCCCGGCCGTCTTCCCTTAGTGTTCCCTTTCCTCATTTCTACTGGCTTAAGTGTTTTCCCAGCTCTGCCCCGGCCTTGTGAACATAAATGTTCTGGAAGGCTTTTCTATCCCAGTGTTCACCTCCTGTTCAAAATGGTCATCATTAAACTAATCCTGCATCCCAATCAAATATGGTCCCCACCGAGAGGCTTCACCTGCCCACCCCAATTGAGATGAGCCCTCCAGGGCACCTACATCCCCTTTCGTTTCTGCTTTTCTGCAGTCCAAAAAACGACATCCTCAGTGTGAGTATCCTGATCTCACAGATCCCCTTCCAAAATTCTTGTATTTTTCTATTATTTCTTTTCATTTATAGAAGTAGTCTTGACATCGGCAAAGTACTAAATTCACTTGGGAGCTCCCTATGGGAGGTTTTCTCCTAATTGACCTTGGATGTGGCATTTCCTAATTCTAACAGCTGCCCAGTGCTTCTAGGGTGCAGCCAGGTGGAGGCTAGCTGCCAGGATCTACCCTCCTCCCTGCTCCTCATGAGTGAGGTCAACTCCCAAGGGCTGCTCTGCCCAGCAACAGGCACCTCTGTTGACCACTGCTGGGACCAACCGCAGGATGGAGGGGGATCGAGAGGGTTCCACCTCCAGGCTGCTCCAGATCAGTGCCCAGGCCCCTCCTGCAGCTGGGACGCACCTCCTGAGGGCCTACCGAACCCTCAGCACCACTCTGCCTTTGCCAGTGTCAAGGAGGACTCATCTCAGTGGAGGTGAGCAGTTGAAGCCTCTTGTTCTTCTGGAACTCCTACTAGTCACACAGCAGGTCCTGCACCTGACTTGCAGACTCTGGCCTTTCACCATGATTCATCTCTCCTTGCTTTATGTCAAGTTGGATGTACTTCTCCTTCTGTTCTTCTTGGGCCATAACATGGGCCTTAAGGGCATCTGTGGTCTATTGCTCATCTACTATGGTTCAAATTAACAAATTCCAGAACACATTTTTGTTCAAATCCATCTCTCTGACGGGTCTCACCCAGTGTTCACCGTTGTCTCCTGCTTCTGCCATTTGCACTGTCAGTCCAAGACATCTGAACGCTCTGGTCAGCATGGCTTCCTTTAGGTGCCTGGGAATCACTGCACTTATTTAGATATTTTGCCATTTGTCAAAACTGCTTTCGACAGGAGATCAATAATCATAACATAAATTAATATTGAAACTTTTAATCACAGATCACTTTGGGCCATAAATCACATTGCCTCAAAATATCACTGTGTCCTTCTCATCAGACGGAGATGTGACCTCAGAGAGGGATTTGAAAGCTCTTGTGAGTGATAATGGTTCAGCTGTTGGGAACATTATTAGGGCTTCGTGAGGTGGCTCCATGGGGACAGCACTTGCTGGAACATAAAAATGCTGAGACTGAGCCGTCACCCCACCAGCATCCTGTAAATGCCATGCTTCAACATTGCTATGACTGCTTATCTCTGCCAGCGAGGGGAATCTAATTACACACAGACCTGGATGCTTTCCACTGCCATCTTGACAATGTTCCCCTGGTAAAATAACACAGGAAGACACCCCTCCCAGCACCGCTCTCCTAATATCAGACACCCGTGATACAATTATCGGTCATAGTTACTCATTTTAAATGTTAACCAGGTCACAGGTCTTCTTCTTTAATTTGAATCTAGCATATCTCAGGACGGTGCTTTTCATTTGGGGAGCCCATTACCTACTTTTATTTTTTAATACACAGACATTCAGAGCCTGCTCCAGCCACACTGCATCTCATTACAACCTATTCCTTCCAAATGCTTGGTATCTTTGTGACTCATTATGTCTCTGAGTAATTTGATATTTCCTTTGAGTTCATTCATTCTTAAGAAACTAGATACAGTGTTTGTGTGTTCTTTGAAAATAGGATCAATGATTAGGTTCATAACTCATTTTTCTAAAACTTTTTTGGATTGACATCGTTGTTTTGCTTTACATGCCACAGAGACAACAAAATTTTCTCATCTAGAGCATTATTCTTTTCTAACTCTAAAGTCTTTTCCTTTTAAAAACCATCAGTAATAGCCTTTTCACCAAGATGGCGCCGAAAGCTAAGAAGGAAGCTCCTGCCCCTCCTAAAGCTGAAGCCAAAGCAAAACCTTTGAAAGCCAAGAAAGCAGTGTTGAAGGGTGTCCACAGTCATAAAAAGAAGAAGATCCGCACGTCACCTACCTTCCGGCGACCCAAGACATTGCGGCTCCGGAGGCAGCCCAAATATCCTCGGAAGAGCGCCCCCAGGGGAAACAAGCTTGACCACTGTGCCATCATCAAATTCCCCTTGACCACTGAGTCAGCCATGAAGAAGACTGAAGACAACAACACACTTGTGTTTATTGTGGATGTCAAGGCCAACAAACACCAGATCGAACAAGCTGTAAAGAAGCTCTATGACA